GTACAAAAAAATAAAATAAATAGAACCAAATAATAATCAAAAGTATATACAATAGACAATAAAATAAAATAACCTAAAAAATAAGAAAATTAAAACTAAGGAAAAAAAAAAATAACATGCATACCTATATACAATCAGGCGAGGGAACTCCACGAGAACCCTGCGCTACTCTTCCAACCGCGTCACTGGTACTAAAGCCAGCGGAGATTGGTCGAGAGCACTTTAGCCACATACACACATGTCTTGAGTGAAGAATCTGGCCATTGCCAGAACTCCAATTTATATAATCTACAAAAGGTCGCGAGGCCACTGCCGTTTCAACCTTCTTGGAGAATTATAGGGATGGGAGATGCTTGATAGTGATTGTGCAAGAGGATTTGGGTGGTAAGTAAGGTTCTGGTGAAATTTGGAGAATTTTTCTGGGATAAGGTCTAGGACAAATGGGATGTTAAGGTCATGATGTAGGGTTTTGTTGGATACATAGAAAGGAGCATCGACTATTGTTCGAAGGACTTTAGACTGGAAGGATTGGATGCGCTTGATGTTAGAAAATTTTGCTGATCCCCACAGTTCTAGTCCGTAAGTCCAAATAGGTTTCAGTATTGTCTTGTAGGTCAGTAGCTTGTTTTCAATGGAAAGTTTAGATTTTCTGCTTAGTAGTCGGTATAGTTGGCCGTATCGTCGGTTGAGTTCTTGTCTTTTGAGTCTAGTATGCGGGTTCCAAGTTAGTCTTCGGTCTAAATGAAAGCCAAGATACCGGACTGTGTCTGAACAAGGAAGCTGGATGGAATTAAAGAGTACTGGTGGACAGGAATTGCGTCGGAGTGTGAAGGTAATATGTTGGCATTTAGTTTCATTAACTTTAATGCGCCAGTTATTACACCAGTGCTCAATCAAGGTGAGGTGACTTTGGAGATTTAAGGATGCTATTTCGGGATCAGAGTTGGATGATAAGATTGCGGTGTCGTCAGCGAATGTTGCAAGAAAAGTATCGGGATGAACAGGGATGTCAGCAGTAAAGAGGATGTAAAGCACGGGACCCAAGACGCTGCCTTGGGGAACACCGGCTTTAACGGAGTAGATATTGGAAAATTCTGTTCCACAGCGAACTCGAAAGGAGCGGTCAGAGAGGTAGGATCGGAGGACTAGGTACAAGGACTGAGGTAAATGGATTTTAAGCTTGGAGAGCAGTCCGGAGTGCCATACCCGGTCAAATGCCTGTGCAATGTCCAGAAAGGCACCCGAACAGTATTCCCTGTTTTCTAGGGCTGAGGAAATATGATCAACAACTCGGAGTCCTTGTTGAACAGTAGAATGTTGAGAGCGAAAACCAAACTGATGGGAAGGGATATTTTGGGATTCTATAATGGGTAGGATTCGTTTCAAAAGGATCTTTTCAAAAATTTTTGAAAGGATTGGGAGTAGGCTGATTGGTCTATAGGATGTTGAGCTATTGAGAGGTTTTCCTGGTTTTGGGAAAAGGATAATAGTGGAGTGTTTCCATAACAGAGGGAAGTGGGTGGTGCGTAGGATACAATTGTAGATATATGTAAGGAATATGACTGCTTTGGATGGAAGTTGTCGAAGGATTTGAGGTGTAAGGAGATCATATCCAGGAGCTTTACGGAGGATTAGTTTTTTTAATTGAAATTTTACTTCGGAAGGATGAATAGCTTTTGGGGGCAAGGAAAGTGGGATTGGTGATGTAAGGAGTTCTTCTACTGTTACGGTGTGGGCAGGATGGGATTCCGGATGTGAAATAAATGTATTGGATAGGTGAATGGCGAACTCCTCAGCTTTATCTTCGTCAGATGCTGCCCAGGAGCCATCACCTCGTCGGAGAGGATGGGAAATGCGGTGAGGATTTAGGATTTTTGTTGTGGTTTTCCAAAGGGAATTGTCGCGAGAAGAGAGGGAGGATAGGTAGGAGTTGAAGGATTGTGATCTGAAGGTGGCTAATTCCAGTTTTAATTGTTTGCAGTAGTAATTATAGGAGCAGCGGTCGGTAGGATGTCGGGTACGTTGCCATAATAATCTGGCACGGCGTTTGGTGCGGATTAGGTTAAGGAGGTGTTGGGGTAGAATGGTCTTTATAGGAATTCTGGAGGAGTCTTTTGGAAAGGAGGCAGTCCAGGCGGCTTGTTGGATTGTGGTAGTAAAGGAATTTACGGCACTATCAAGGTCATCGGGAGTTTTGAGGGATATGTTGAGATCAATATTATCGGAGATTATTTGGCGGAAAAGGTCCCAGTTTACTGGGCCCCTAATGAATGACGGTGGAGAAGGTTTGGGAACAGGTTCAAGTGAAACATTAAGGATTAGAGGACTATGGTCAGAGGAAAGTTCATTTAGACGTGTAATGGAACAATTGAGGGGACTTAAGCCGCTGTGGATAAAGAAATCAAGAAGATCAGGATTACGGTTGGGATCTGTGGGCCAGTAGGTAGGAGAGTTGGGGGAAAGGAGGTGAAAACGTTGGGAATTGAGTGCAGACAGCAGGGTTCGGCCACGAGAATTCGTGGTTCTGGAACCCCATTGTTGGTGCTTGGCATTTAGGTCTGCACCCAAGATGAAGTGATGTCCTAAGGAGTCGAGGAGAGAACTGAATTGGGCATTGGATATGGATCGGTTAGGAGGGCAATACGCTGATGCAAGAGTGACCGGAAAGGAGAAGGTTTTTATCACGATAGCGGTGGACTGTAGGAAATCATGTATTGGTAATGGGAGTACGTGATGGGAGAGGGATTGGTGTACAATTACAGCAGTACCGGCATGTGCTTTTCCGTCAGGGTGGTCAGTACGATATGTCAGGTATTGTGGTATATTGAATTGCTGTTTAGTGGTTAGTCGAGTTTCAGTAATTAGTGCCACATCAATGTTCTTGTCAAGTAGTAAAGTAGATAGTTCGTCTGTATGATTTCTAACACCATTCGCATTCCAAAGGAGAATGGATATGGGTTTAGGGATGTGAGTCATTTAAGGATTTTTCAAAGGAGGGATGAGGTGAGATACGAGATTCGTGAGGAGTGATATGAGTGGAGTAACAAGGGATTTGAAATCGGTGAGGAAAGATGCTAACAAACTTGTGAGATCTGTTGCATTTGAAGGAGGAGGAATATGAGGAATTTGTTGTTGGTGGTTAGGTATATTAGGATGAAGAGGATTTTGAGGTTGGGTTTGAGGTTGTTGTTGTGGCAGGGCTTGACATTTATCGGTTAAAGTCTTACCTCTAAGTAATTGGGAGAATGATACATCATTGTTTACAATTCTGGAAGGCTCTCTCTCTCTTCTTGTTCTTAGTGCTTCATCTTGAATCCGGTTTTTCTGGTGTCTGGTTTTGAGATTCTTGTAAATTTGGCAGCCTTTGTAGTTGGCCGGGTGTCCCTCCAAGCATAGGGCACATACTGCTGGATCTTGTATAGGTTTGGTGCACTCTACAGATTTGTGCTGTTCACCGCACTTCACGCAACGCGGCAGATGGTGGCAATATGTCTTCGTGTGGCCATAGGTCTGACAATTATGGCACTGCACGATGTCTCTCTTGGGATATGGCTTCTCAACTTTCACCATTGTGTAGTATATTCTTGTGATATCATATATTTTTTCGATACCTGGTGATGGCTCCAAGTCCACGAAAAACAATGGTAGTGGGATCCTATTTCGTAATCCTGGCTGCTCCCTGTCCTCCTTCAAAACGTTTGTTACCTGGCGTACATTGAAACCAAGCGTCGTTAGTTCTTCTTTAATAACTTCAGTGGGGGTTGAGGAATGTAAATTTCTTATCACTACTCGTAAAGCTCTTTCCTGCCTCAGCTGGTAAGTATGAAAATTCGCATTTGTTTCTGATAAGTACTTCACTATTTTTCTGTAGGCTTCTGCAGAATCAGGTGTTATTTTGGTGTCATTGGTCCTGTTAAGGCATGAATAACTGCCAGAGCAGATTTTATTTAGTTGGGTGCAGAACATCTGGAAATTTTTTATATTTTTCACAAATATCGGAGGAGGCTTTGGTTCTCTGGATATTGCTGCAGACTCCATTACTTCTCTGTCATTTTGAAGCACTTGGTAGGGGTTTGGAGTAAAGAAAGGTGATTCTTCAATCGTTTCTTGTGCAGACGTACCTGGTTGGGGCTGAGGTTCTGGTTCTGAAGTGTTCATTTTGGTCACTGGAAGTATTTCTCGTAGGCAGCGACGAGTCCTTTGTTTGGCTGGTGAGCTAACTCCGTCTGACCGAGACCTCTTGGGCACCTTACTGGCCATCACTTGCTGATCATACCGCATATCATAAGAGAAAAATAAATAAATAAATAAAAAAAAAAAAAAATTTTTTTTTTTTTTGTTTTTTCCTAAAATAACAAAAAAAAAAGATGCCAACAGTAAATATCAACTGCTCTAATATACACTTTAACTGTATCACGTGAATAATCAGAGAGATTCCGCTATAAAATTGGTAAAAACTGAGAGAGGAGTTGAGGAGACAACCTTCTCATCAGCTGATCCACTGCCTTCTAGGTTTTATTAAAAACATTAATTGATATTTTATTGTTTGGTAGATTCCAAACGGTACTGGAATGTCACTTACTGGAGTTAAGTTTTAAGTTAAGAGTTAAACGAGACCAAGACGAACTGGTTGAATTTAACCTATGCAGTCTCTTATTGTTTTTCCTATTCTCCTTTGCAAGAAATTCGTTTATGAGGTGACCAGCTATTCTATTAACATTGACGTTTTTGGGCAGTCCAACGTTTAACAGGAGGTAAATTATCTAGTACTGACTTGGTAGTAAATTTTAAATTCTTGCATTTAAATTATGTTACTGATATGAGTGATATACTGGGTTGACCAGATATGTTTTAATTTTTCTTATATGTATTTATTCTCACGTTTCTTGCTAATTGTTCCTTAAAGTTATTTATGCAAATATAAAAGTTTAGAGATATACTTTCCTGACATGTAGATTCTGATTTCATACAACTCAGAAAATCATTCCAAATGCTTTCAGGTGTTCAAAAAGATGGACCTAAACTCCGATGGCGTGATCTCCTTTCCTGAATTTGTAAGCCACCAGTCCAGCAGAAACAAGGAACTGCCTACGACTAAAGTAATCCACGAAAATTTCGCCCTGTTCGACCGAAACGAAGATGGGTTCCTCAACCTCGATGAAGTTCGCCATCTTCTCCTCTACATGGGTAGGTGGATTTTAAGAGATGACAAACTTGATTATTTAGGATAATTTTGCATTTTACTCGTTTGTCATTCACATACTAAACGTTTCACTTATAGTTAACTTAATTGGTACCTATATGAATTTACTTTTTTGTCTGTTATTACGATTGTACAATTAGGGCAACAGCACCAGCGATGGACATAGATAAGGATATTTTTGTCTTTTTTTGGAAATTATTAGTTATAAAGTTCTCCGTTAGATATTTAAAATCTATAGGGTCTCCTTTTTTTAATTTACACTTTAAAACTGAAAAAATATAAATCAGTTATGCAGGTGCAATCACCATTTTAAAAAAAATAATCCTTTCTGCAATAGTGATGGACACCACAAAACTCAATTGTTGTAGTAATGGACAGGGGTCGGTACCAATAATGGACCTTTCTCAAAAAAATTCTAAAATCATTATTTAACTATAGAGATAACGATAAAGATAAGATAAAATAAATGTTCAACTTACTCTTAGCAAAACTGTTAGTAGGGAGATATGAAACACACTGGTCTCAGGAGCTCTATAGAAACTACAATGATAGGCATTCTAAATTTTTCTTTTAGTCCGAAAATTCCAACCTGTCAATCAGTGGTTCCCCTGTTCATAGCTGTTTTTCTTAATGATATTAATGATTATAAAAAATCTTTAATTATGTTATTACATATAAGCATTAATGAGAGAGAGATTTCTTGGTGGGCAACTGTCTATAAACGTTGCTTTTGAGCTTACCACATCATCATTTTCAAGAAGTACTTCTATACCAACTTCTTAATTCTAAGCAATTCATGCGTTGTAGTGCTAAAGTTGAATTTATTTAGGACATGAAAAACAAATGATGATGCTACCTCAATAGTATTTTTAAGAATAACCTCAATTATAAAGAATCTAAATTAATGTTAGTTTATAATTGAAAAAATTCCAACTACACAGCCTTACGCCTCCAAGGCCAATTCGCATGCATTTAAATGCATCATCAGACAGAAAAGCAAAGCGAATCAACGATCACACATTACTGCACGACGTTTAACCGCATACTATTGTGCGAGTTGACATAAATTTGACGGTTTTCATCTGCATTTTGGAGACATAATGCTGTGTGATAGATATTTTTCCAATTATAATCTAACATTGGATTTATGTCTGCTGGTGAGTTTTTTACTTATGTATATTAATTGAAATTAGTTAAATATATACTATTGTATAAAGTTTTAGTCTATTTATTTGAACTCATTAAGAAGCTAACTTTCAAAATTGCAAAACTCGGTTTGCATTAGATAGACTGTTTGCTAAGTTTGGCGTTAGGCTTATAAAAATCAAGATGGGACCTACTGGAAGCGAGTTGTCAATAAACATAGAAAAAATTGCCAATTATATATTTATTATGCTAAGGTTAATCTTGGAAATTTATCTTTTGAATGGGATGTGCGCAGGAAAGTAGATAGCGAATAGTAGTATCGTAAACTAGGAATCTCGAAACTTTTTGGCGCTAGGGCCACATTGAGACCTCCACCCAAGAACCAAGGGCAGTGGCTTGTGATAAAAAAAAAACTTGTTCAATAAATGACACTTCAACTGTGAAATGAAGTTTCTAAGAAACGAGAACCACATGCAATAAATGTTGTAATAACTAGGTCTGTGAGTAATTAGCTAAATTTCATATTTTTCAAATTTTACCATGTTATCAAATCACGTCGGGGTCACCACTTTGAGGATTCTGCGGTTTCGTTCAATAAAAAACTACATACAAAAAAAATAAAAACTTTAATAAATAAAACGTTTGGTAAAAACAAAATTAGAAAATAAAAACATACCTCTCTGAATGCACATGCAATGATATAGAAACCAATAAGAAAGCAATAAATCATCTAAAACTGAACTAAAATTTGGTACACTACTGAATAAAATGCTTTACAATAACTAACACTGAATATCACTAGCGCGTCCAGGATTTATTTTTGGGGGGAGGGCTTCAGCCCGAAAGTTGTTTTTTTTCATAAAAATAACGATAATTACTTTGCAAAAAAAAGAAAGAAACTCACTACCTATATGAAATGGTGTATAAGTGATTCCTTTTAAATGTAATTACACGAACAGTAATACTTTAAGAGATACTTTTTTAATATTGTTTTCGATAAAACATGGTTATATTTTACCGTTTTGGGGGGAGCTACAGCCCGAAAGACCCTTCCCCCCCGTAGATCCGCCCGTGCTGAATATAAATTACTAAATTAAAACTACTGTAATCTGTGAGTGCTCACTAACATGCAGGCCACTAACAATGATAACTGATGTTCATTAACTAGTGAACCAAGAAAAAACAATGTAGCATGTTAAGCAATTGAGCTAGCACTAAAAATCAACAGGCGGCTAGAATCGATCTCTCGATCCAAAGAGGTTGCACCAGCGTACGCATGCTATAGGCTAAGTTGTTTGGACGTTTGTCATTAGACAGAACCCTAACAACATTTTCGCGGATCGTAGTTTGGAGAACCCTATCCTAACAAAGCGTTTCCCACACATTGCTCTAAGCCGAAACAAAAACTATAACTCGCATCCTTAACCATAGAACGACACACTGACACACCCCACAACTGTTTCAATATTAATTTACTATTACATAAATTGGCCAAGTTGTTAGATGTTAATAAACATCATAAATAGCCCGGCTAATTACAGTTATTATCACTCCATTGTTGGACTTATATTATTATTGGGAATTATCGAAAGTCATTATGGGCTATCCCACACCCCAGTGTGTGCTGTCTATGCAACTGTTCTGTAGTTTTCGTATCCCAGTGATTTCTTTGTTGTTTTGATACTTCAGTAGTGAATTTCGAATGTTATATTTGTTAATTATTGGCATTTTAAATTCAGGCGGTAATGTATGGAATCATTTTTTTTTAGTATGGCTACTACCAAAAAAATGTATTCTTCTTCTGAAGAAATCCATAAATCATTATAGGAGTTAGAAGATGGAGAAAAAATACACGGAGCATATTAAATAAAGATGACACAGTAACCTTTGATCAAATGTGGCATGTGTGTAAATAGCAAGAAAACAAGGAGGCTGTCTCTCCGATTTTTCTTTGGAATGTTGAACCATGCTGGTATAAACAGCGTGATATTGTTCGTCTTAGTTAACTGAGAAAATAGGATGAAATGGAGAAATTATTTATTTGGATTAGGCATCAATTACTTGAGCCATGTTCGAAAAGGAGACTGCAGGTGGAGACACTCAAACGAACGGTGTGTTACAACATGAAAGAAATTTTGAGAATCAATAAATATATGACGACTTTGGAAAAACAAGGCCAATATTTGTTTTGTGCGAGAGAGAAAGATATGAAGACAAAAATGGTTTGTGAGCAATGCGAGAGACCTATCTGCAATGAACAAAGGATGACAGTTTGCTAGGAATGTTGTGGGTGAGTGGTCACATAAGTGGCTTCACTTCAAGTTTTGTTATCTTTTTAAGTAAACAAATATTTTTTTACCTTTATTATGTATATATTTTACATTCCAAACATACATATTTAATTAATATAAACTGAATGTATTTTCAATAGAAAAATATTGACCCTTTTTGATTTTTGTAATGTAAATGTCAAATTTTTACTATAAAATAAATTCTCTAAGTTTACTTTGAATTTATTTATTTTTTCGTTTTCCTGGTTGTTTGGCTTATTTCTGAAAAGTAATAGTCTTTCTGAAAGTTAAATTTTATGATAATTTAAGGTTTGGGGTGTACCAGAATGTTAGAATGAGTTGACTTTTTTAATTGTGTCGTTCTATGGTTCTATTAAAATCCAAACACCAGTCTTTCGTGCTGTGTATCCCGTTAAAATTCGCTATTAAAATTTTGTTGTATGGATCAGGTTTTCAATTGCATTTTAAGTATGTAACGTTTTTTTTTTTTTTCTTCAATATAAAGGGTAACTGTTATTCGTGATAAGGTGCTGCTCCTAACCGAGAGGAACAATTAAGTTCCGAACTAGAAAGCAGCTACTAAATAAGCCAATACTGCATTAGGGCAGAGAACTCACTTGAGGACTCGGGTATTAGAGCCAACCCGACTAAGCCTACAAACAGCTGGCCCGAATTTGGGGCTATATCAATGGCAAAAACTTATCCAATTTGTCCGAGCGACGGCAAGAAACGTTTCATTTATTTACTGTTCTGTCTTAGAGAACTTCCTTGGTGATTATTATTATTTATATTTATTACATATTAAAATGCCCCAAAACAGAGTCTCGATCCTCTCATTAAAACAAGTATTTTTTTTTTTTTAAATTTTACTTCAATATATAGTAATAGGAAATCTTTTGATCGTGATTTTTTTTTTAATCTTAATCGTTTTGAGTTCTTCTGAGTCCTGATAACCAAGTCCCAAAAAATTGGTCTATGTGTATGTGAACAGTCTTGCTCAAAAAAGAAAGGTCGTGAGAAACTGAAACTTTGTATGTATAGGTTAGGATACTACAGCAACTTTTTCGTCAAAGTCAACAAATTTTCTTCCTGTAAACTACCTCTAATTTTCTTTATTTATAATAATCAACCCTTTCACATAATCATAAAAATCTGTTATAAAGAATTGTGAAATGTAAACTATAAAAGATTTTAAAAATTAATTAAAGGAGGAATAATGGATCGTAAGAAGACTGAAGAAACCCGAGCTTAGCAAGAAAAAAGCTCACAAATGCTTAGCTGAAATGTTAGAATACGCATGTTTGATATAATACTGGCACTAATAATGTTATATACACGTACGAGTACTATTTTTATAAATGCTTTGTATTATTATTCATAAATTCGTGATATATGTTTACGTAATATATGCTTTGCTATAAATGATACATATAAAAATATGAAATATAAAGAGATAAACAGAAAAGAGTTGACATTTCTCATTTAAATTTTCTTTTTTTCCAAGTCCATACTAATAGCTCATCTGGGTGGAATTTTAAGAAATCTTA